CCCCCAAAACCCCAAAACCCCATCTTTTGCTGATTACATTTGCTCTAGTGATTAATAAATTAATTTCTATTTTATAGCGGAGTTTGGGTTATTTAAGACCGTAAATAAAATAATAATTCAATACTTTTAAATTTCAAAATGAGATCATAACTAGTCTATAGCACCCGCAGATATATTAGTTCAAATTGGACCTTCCAAAAGGGCAAACTTACCCTTCAAAAACTTAAAGACAAATCAACCATAGATGAAACAATCAATTAAGTAAATGTAGTATTCCCGGATCAATTCGGTCGTCTAACTGGACTTAAGCTTAATGCTGAATACTTTGCTGATGAGGTAGAAAAACATCAAAAATAGAGTACTTCGGAAAAAGAATCTCTTCCATTCTTTGAATATAAATACAATCCATTCAGGTTTGATGTTCAAGGAAAGCCAATCACATTTGACGATGATGTCAAGTTATCAAAGAGTATCAGACTAGTACCAGACCTTGATACTCTCAGAGAATAGCCTTGGCTTTCAAAGGAAGCAGTTGTTATGGCTGATGTGTATGATATTGAAACAGATAAAAAGATAAAGTTTGCTCCGAGAAATCTTATGAAGGAAACTATAAATCAGCTTAATTTTTCAAAAGATTTGGACCAAGTTAAATCTCAAATTATGTTCTCATTTGTGCTGCATAAACTCGGAAAGGAGGAAAAAGATCAACATCATAACTCCCATAAGGGTATGCTAACTTTGGAATAAGGTTGGGGAGAAGTATTGGATGATTGCAAGAAAAGTCTTCATAACATTGGTATACCAGTTTAAGCCAAAGATCAAACACATATCAATAACTAATTTAGATTCCATCTGAGATAAGTTCAAGGAAACTTACTTTCCCAGTGTGATATGTTTCACTTAGGCAAGCATGCTATGAAGTTTATCGGTTATACACACTAGTATGACATCAGTAGTCTCCCAATTGACTCCAGTAAAAATCCTAATGATCTAATTTTGAACCTCGAGGGAATGGAAATACATCCAAGTGTTCTTTAAAACATCTTGTACTTTGCTCCTAATATTAATTCAGTCAGAAGACTTAGGGATAGAAAGAACGGAGATATATTCAAACAAAAAGGTGAATAGAGTTATGAAATAGCAATCTCAGCACCTGATGTGAACCTTTACCTAGCTCTATCTAATTTATTGAAAACTTAACCAAATCATGAAAAAGCTCTAAAGATTCCAAGAAACTATGAGGAAGCACTTGGCATGTTTGAAGAGTACAAAGATAACTAAGACAGTGAAGTATATAATTACTATCACCAATTATTCAAACATGAGTAGAATGAGTTCAATGACTTTTTTACTAAGTGGGAAGTAAATAGAATCTATTGACTAGATGGCATTTGAATTGTATTGCGTATCAAAGCCTAGTAATTAAAGCCTAGTAAATAATCTTATAATTTTTAATTAAGTTAAATATTTTAACCAACCACTAATTTACCAAATATCTTATAAAATTGGAATTGGGGTTTTGGGGTTTTGGGG